GTTTTTTTTTTTTTGCCAGATGGGATGGGATTGGGGGGCTAAACGAAAAAGGGGAAGGGATTAAGAAGTACAAATTGGTAGTTACAAAATAGTCATGAGATATAAAATACAGCATAGGGAATATAGTCAATAATATTATAATAACTAAGTATTGTGCCAGGTGGGTACTAGACTAATTGAGGGGATCACTTCGTAAATTATATAAATGTCTAAACACTATGCCGTACACCTGAAACTAATATAAAGTAATGTTGAATGTCAACTCTAATTGAGAAATAAAAATTTTAGAAAAATAAGTCATTTTGGTAAAGCATGTGCCAGATTGCTAACATGTGTATCTGAACAAGGATTTGTGAATCCTGAGCTCTTACAGACTGGTTCTAAATATTTGGCTGTGTGGGTCATTTTGCTTCAAGAGGCTGAGAAAGTTGCTGCTGTAAGAAAAGCCATATTTCCTTAAGACAGTTTTCCATTTCACATCTTTAAAGGTGCAAGTGGGTTTTTGTTTAGGTTTGGTTTTAGCAATCGCTGTAACGTGGCTATGCCTTTTCCCCGCACCAGGATGAATTCTTCTCTCTGACCCTCCAAGCACTTGATATGTTGTTAACAATACTTACCTAGTAACTGGGTTCTGTTTCTCACACATATTTCCCAAATCACACCCAAAATCTGTTTGCTACTTTTCCTGGAATTATGCGTACAAACTGTCATGTTAACCCTGCTACACAATAATTCCTTGATCGACTGTTTCATGATCTTCAGAAATGTCTGAATTGAGAAAGACAAGTTTGGGCTCCTCCTGCACCATTGAAAGACAAACTCTGACATGCTGTCAGCAGCTCTCTGCAGGGAGGACAAGGAGAGAGTGCACTGGCTCATCTTGCAGGACCAGACGGCTCAGAACCCCTTGTATGAGCGGAGCTCAGCTCAGCTCTCCTATAATTTGCTGAATCAGCTGAGGCTTGTGATTGCTAGTGGGGAGGTATTCTGGATACAACGGTCCCATAGTACTTTCCAGGTATTTTTTTCAGGATGACTGACAAGAGCTACCACATTACAAGCAGTCATTCAGTTGACACATTACATTAGAGTAGCATGCTTTGCACATGTGTTTATATCAAGCATTGGACACAATCTCAAAATGTAACAGATGACATTTCATGACATTATTAGAAAAATTTTCTCTACTTTTTATCCCTATCTTGCATCCAACTGTTTTTAAGTTTTAAAAAATGTTATGTTCTAATCTAAAAGCCAAGCCGTGGTCAAAATGAAAGCCATAAAACAGATTTTCAACATTCAATATCTTTTCTTTGGATATTTTCCTTTGGCTCATACTATAACCATTCTTCACACACACACACACACACACACACACACACACACACACACAAACACAAAGTGCATAATATCTGGACCCAACCAGAACAATTTTATTTCATGCTTAGTTTTTATATCTGTAGGCTTTCAAATGAGTAGGCGACCTCATTTTATTAATTGCCTACTTGACCAGCTTTTTGCAGAGTTGAGTGATAAGGGTCACAGTTACGTCATGGAACAAGGAAAAGAACACTCTTCAAGAGACTCACATTCTGGGTCTAGTTCTTTCACTTTCTATTTGGATGTCCATAAACAATTCATTTTACCTTTGGGGGCTGTTCCCACTCCATTCTAAGCTAAACTGCCAGTTTCCTTAGTCCACGCATTACAAACTGGCCTCCTGCTGACAAAGATATTCCACATCAGTGTTTTGCTTGGCCCACAGAGTATTTTAAAATTTGGCAAATATTAACTTTTATAAAAACGCAAATGTCCAACTCCTGTTGAAAAATACAAAGCTGAGCAACAGTGAACCAACATTCCTACATGACAAGAATTATCTGAAGCTGAGTAAGACTGCCATCTCTCGAGATGGTATGCACGTCACAGCCCACCACAATCCCCGCCACTCTCTATTGTCTGGCACCAGCTCTGCCTTACTCATTTGCATAAATTACTAGCCCTAATAGGCATATGGTTTTGCTACCCTGATTTAGTCATTTATCTGCTGTGGTTTCCAGGAGCTCACCAATCAGCCACCCTCTTCTAAATTTGTTTTAATTTTTCAAAGTTATTCTTATAATCTGAAGCATATAATAGAAGAATTTCTCCAGATGTCCTTAATATTAAAAGGCCCACATCAAAGTGTTGGCTTATACTGAGTTTGTGAGCAATTGAAATCCTGGGTCTCCCTCTCATGAATTATTTTGTGAAGTTGACTGCCAAACATGTCTTCTCTGCCCTGCAGTTTTTCTAATGTGAACCTATAGTTCTGGCCTGAATTTTTATATTTCTCATAGGGATTTTGTGATTATCAAATATATCATAGCATGAAATCATCAAAAGCTTTGAAATAAAGCCGTAAGCAAGCACAAAATATTTTATCATTTAAATATGCATAGACTATATTCTGACAAGGAGGTGTCTCTGTCAATAAATGCATTGTATGATTGTTATTTTTACATGCTTTGGGTTTTTTTAGCTGCTTAAAAATATACCTCTTAAAATATGTTAAAACCAAATAATGACACTAATTGTCTATTACTTTGCTGAGAGATACCTTATCGGGAGTGCATTTTATTCAAGAATGACCTATAAAACCATATCACCCACTCTCTTTCTATATGCTTTATCAACTAAATTAACACTTTGTCTACTACATACAAAAGGAGATAAGATACATTTCATTTGAACCAGATTTATACATTCTGCATATAAATGAGAGGGTACGAAAAACAACATCATGTAGCCCTGTTCTTCACAAAATATATTTAAACTGTATCACTGCTTTTGAATCCTCTCTTAGTTTTTATATTTTTATGTTCTCCTATTAGAAATAAATGGTTATGGATCACTTTCAAAATTTGTTGCTTATCAAAAGTGATCCACAACTATCTATTGTTAATATCAGAAAGTAAAAAATATAAAAATACAAAAAATGAGGATAGCAGATGCAAATAGAAATGCAAAAGAAAAAAGAAAAAGAACATAATCTAAACCACCCCCAGGCTATTTGTGGAACAAGCAGCAGCATCACTTGGCTGGGCAAAGGGCTGACACCACTGTGCTTTTCTCTGTTTTTCTTCTCATGCCTTTCTCTCTTTTGTGTTTAAGATCGGCGCACAGTGCTACTTGGAATGCTCTGCCCTGACTCAGAAAGGTCTCAAAGCTGTGTTTGATGAAGCAATCCTCACCATTTTTCACCCCAAGAAAAAGAAGAAACGCTGCTCCGAGTGTCACAGCTGCTGTTCAATTATCTGAGGTGGCTTGAGACCTATCTCCACCCCATCTAAGGGTGGGAATGTCAGCCAGCCTCTGTGACCTAGCTCAAGCCAATACGGAGGGCATGACCAGAGGGGAGGCCCCTTCACACAGAGGCTTCTTCTCTACCCTGTGAGCCCCCAAAGCACAGCACATTAGCCAGCCAACCGCCACATCCTCCCTTCCAGTCAGAAGCATCCACGTTGTACACTCTATGAGAATGCTGAGCCCGGGTTTCAGCCAGTGTCGCTGTTGACCACGCTGGAAACAAAGTCGAAGGCCATCTTGCATCTCCCCCTCCCGTGAACATGAAGCTGATAGGAAATCATCACAGGAAAATTGAAAGAGGCACTCGGTTCTTGTGCTGGTGGCCTTACTTGATGTCCTTTATGAAACATGGGAATACAATACTAACCTCTTTTTCTGAATCTGCTATTCTACCTATATGTCTTACATTCATTCTTATTGTTTTAAGAAATTACCAGTTTACTCAGGCCTTACAAATCTATACCAAATTAGCCTCAAGACAAAGTATTTTATATTCATTTCTATTTCAACATGTTTCTACCAAAGCTATTAGAAACAGCATGTACCTCTGAATACCTGACTACAAGAAGATGCAAGAAAATGTTAAAACTTTTGGAAATTTCAGAACCATGATTTTGGAAACTGGTTGAAAGAAAACACCATCTAAATTGGTACAGGTCCACATTTTTGCCAAAGATTCACCCTGGAAATGCTTACATTGATAGGCAGCTTTATTTTTTCCATATTATATTATCATGACAAATTACAAATGAACTGTGTTTAAGAAAATACTATCTCTGCTTTTCAATCAAATTGATTGGGGAGAGAATATGGCAGACCTATCTTTTAAAATATTTTTTATTCAGCAAAGTGAACTTTCCTGCTCCTTCCTTCCCTTCCCTATTGCATGTTCTTTTCTTAACTTGATTTCACATTTTCTCCCATGCTGAGTAATAACCTAATCTAAAAGAAGGGTCTGGCCATGGGGCATGAAAAAGTAAGTGTTCGAAAGTCCCCAAAAGTTAAGCAAAGTGCCTCAGTTTTTCCTCTTGCTTCAACTGAAAGTACAGTTATCCCACCTTATCTGTGGTTTCAGTTACCCACAGTCAACTACAGTCTGAAAATATTAAATGGAAAATTGCTGAAACAAACAATTTATAAACTTTAAATTTTGCGCCCTTCTGCGTATCACGATGAGATCTTACACCATCCCTCTCCGTCCCACCTAGGACATGAATCATTCCTTTGTCCAGTGTCTCCAAGAAGTATACACCACCTGCCCCTCTCAGTAGCCATCTCAATTATCAGATTGACTGTCACAGTATCACAGTGCTTGTGTTCAAGTCACCCTTATTTTACTTAACAGTGGCTCCAGAGTGCAAAAGTAGTGATGCTGGCAATTCAGATATGCCAAAGAGAAGCTGTAGCGTGCTTCCTTTAAGTGAAAGATATGTGTATATAGGAAAAACCTAGTATATATAGGATTTGGTGCTATCTGTGGTTTCAGGCATCTACTGGGGGGCTTGGAACTCTCACCCACAGATAAGGGGGACTATACTGTACTTCTCAGCTTGCCCTATGTAAGCTCCCATTCTATTTAAATGACATTGTCCAAGTACGACTGGTACTAAAATGTTGCCTCTCCCTATTTCCCATACTCATTGTCCCAAATGTGTATTTAGGGGCCAGATCTGTGAGTCCCAAGCTCTAGATCTATTTATCCTCTGCTTTCCAAAATTATGCACTCCATAGTTAGCAGGGACTTTGGCCTTGGGGAAGTTAAAGCCCCAGTAAGTTTTTATGTCCTTTTCATATGACTCTTCCAAATATCGAGGGATTCTTTTATCACAGAGTGAGTTACTTCCTAGCTTTTAATTAGAGACCATGGAGGCTTCTAATTAGTCTTATTGCTTACAATTACCCTAGAAACACCCAGGTAGGCACTTTATTCTTTATTTCAACTACATAAGCAAAGTGCCTCTCTGCAGCATGAAATTACACCATTTTAGTTTAAGAATTTCCAGATTCACACTCCTTCTGTTGGAAAAATCCAGTCTTTCTAGTCCCTTCTGCTCATGGAGGAAGCATACAGAAACAGAAGCATATGGCATGGGTCTTTTCTGTTGAAGCCTTCTGTGACACCCCCTCAGTATTTTGGGTTTTGTTTGTTTGGAGCTTTTTTAGAATTTCTAAAATGTGTTTTCCCTTCTTCCTCATTTCAAATTCTATTTCCCTTCTCCCCCATTTAGTTACTAAACATTCTCCTAAATACACACACACACACACACACACACACACACACACACACAATACACCCCAACCTTAAAAAAAAAAAACGAGAGTTTTGTAAGTCAGAGCTTGACAAGAAAACAAGGACTCTCTGCCTTTGTAAATGGAAATCAACCATGTATAAACTATAACTCTGCAGAGGTTATGAAAGCATCCTTTACAAACAATAATGAGCATTTAGCCCTGTAATAAATGAAGTGCTGTTAGCCAGTTTCATTACATTATTGCATAGTTACATCTCGCTAATGGGCCACTCCTCAATTTTCATTGATGTGGATGAAAAATTTAAAGATATATGTTTGCTCGGCCAAGAAGAATTTTCCAGATGTGTACACTCAGTAGGCAAATGGTTTCCCAGGCCATCGCCTCCCTAATGGGTCACAGGGATTAACTTGTTCACAGTGGGAAGATCACTCTCTCTCGCATGGAACCAGAACCTAGAGAGAGGCTGTTAATGTGGAGCACAGGCTTCTAGAGGTCTTATGAGCTGATCATTGAATAAAATAATGAAGAACAAAGCAACCTAAATGAGCTAATGTCGCTCCACCAAATTAATCATGTATTCCCTGTTTCATGGCAAGATGCAGTTCATTTCATTAAAAGGTGTTTTTTGACATAAGATTGAATATCCTGAAACCAAAGATAAGATGAGACTTAGAAATTTGAAAAAGGATCTTTTAATTGTCTACACCATTTCCCAAAGTCAAGAAGGAACAGCTGAGCTCCATTTGAGGCTAGAGTCTTAACTTTTCAGAGCTAGAAGAGGCCTGAGAAACTATAGTTCAATGCCCTTATTATACAAATGAGGAAACTTAAGCCCAGATGGATTAAAGAAAACGTTTTGTGGCAGAGCTAGGACAGATTTAAGCTTTTCTGCTTCCAGAGCCTTTCAACTCCATACTATATTTATTATCATGTATATTAAATTAGACTTTTGTAGGTGTATTATTGGAATAGCATCTGATTTCCCTATAAGTTCTAGCCGCATTTCAAACACATGACTTAAGAACACTATAAATAAGATAATCCTTCAAACTAGTAATAACCTAGAGACAAGAATTTGTCCTACACATGCTATGCCTGGAATCCACAGTATACGATGTAACATAATCCCAATCTAACTGCACAGTATACAGCAACATAATCCCGACCCAATGGTTCAATCAAATAACTAGTTTGACGGATGGTTTTCAATCGGATGGTTGGTTGGTAGAATTAATGGACTATTTGGACTATTTTGGAAACACAAAAATACTAAGACACAAGTCATAGCCATGTCAACAGTAAGAAATCTGGGCTGATTTCTTCCAAGAAAAGTTAGACTCAAAGAACAATTACTGAATGCAATAACTATAGCAACCCTAAACCAAGAAGCACTAAACTGAGAAATGAAAAGATATGTTATACACATGTGACATGTGTATAACAATATGTCTGATCGTGATACACAAAGAACCATTTGGAAAATTCTAGTGCATAAGTTCCAGATGAAGTGGATATAACCATACAGAATTTTCATAGAACCACCAATAAGAAAATAAAATTTAAATGGTAGTAAAGGAGCAGTCACAACCACACTCACAATATTTGAAGAAAATTTTAAAAGTTAAATCCAGAATTTGAAACCAAAAAAATCTCATTATTTAGAGTGAAAGTTTTAGAGTGCAATAACCTCACAAAGTAGAGAGTCCTCAAGAAGAAATATTTGACTTGAGATAAGCCTTTTACAATGCAGTATTGCATACATAAAGGAAAAATTATCCATGAGACCAAAGAGATGGAAAGTTAGAAATTGAGGTTTTGCTTTAAAGGAATGTTTGACACCATGCTGGAGATGATTATCTAACCACATGTGTCTCTGATTTTAAATCTACCCCTATGTTTAGACGCCTAAATGCAAATGTGTGTTCTCTCTCAGCAGAGAAAACCACAAGTCACCAGCTATTCTCTTAAGAGCCATTAAGTAGACTGCCCAAGTCCAAATCAGGAAACTCAACAGAATATTTTCATTTCGAGGACCATTAGGAACAGAAAAGAGAAGGTCAGGAAAACTGAGTTTCTTACATCGGAAGTTAGGTGCTTTTTTAAAGGAAACATTTAGAGAATGGAGAGAAAACTAAAACAGATCCAAACACAAGACAAAAACACATACCTTACAATTGTCCAAGAGAATTGCTAACTTCTGCCTGGTATAGGGAAGAAAGAACTGTTAATGTAAAGAGCTTTTCATATTTCTCAGCGTCTAAGCAGAGTCAGACAACAGGGTTATTTGTGTGATAATACTAGATAATTCCACCTCATGATTCATGAAAAATGGATGAAATACTGGACAATGCTCTTTGAGTCTTTCATAGCAGAGCGGGTCATCACCCTCACACTTTCTATGCTAATATGGAACAGGCTGTCAAGGGAAACTTACCAAGAAACATGAGTGAATAAATTATTTTGAAAGTTTCCTTGAGAATGAACATGACTTAAAACCTGAAAAGAATGACTTTAGGATATCTGTAAAGACAGTTACTTGTCTAAATGATATTTAATCATCTTTTGTGAAATATCTTTAAGTAGAAAGACTGCATTTAAAATGCGCAACAGGAATAACAGAATACAAAAACATGAGATGAAGGAAAAATTCATGGTGCTCCCATGGTCAACAAAGACCAGAAAGGAAATTAGAGCATCCAGCTCTACGCAGAGGCACTCCAGGCATCAGAGGCTCAGCCCTGCTCCTTGGAGATCTCTCTATGGGTTAGGGTGGGAATGAGTCAAGGAGGGTCTGGCTCATCTCTGAATTCGTGGGATGCAAGTTCAACAACAGTTCTTGGCTTTCAATTTCCACTACAGGAAATTAGAGTAAAAGATGCAAGATTAATCTTGGTCATGATCTATTTTTTTTTTTTCTCCTTAGGGAATATTATATCACAAACCAGAGTCGTTTTGTGCATGTATGTGCTTTAAACATGTTCTACTCTGGTAATTTCATTTTGTTGTGAGTTCTGCAGTGACTCAGAAACTTCATGAATCTATAGCTAGAGTAATTTTGTTGCATTTTCAGCCATGTTCTCTAAACCTCCCAATATATGCAGTTATATTTCATGAACAGGTTCTGATCAGTGTTTAGGGGATATCTGAGGAGAGGGTCCCCATAACTGAGTCCCACTTAAAAGCCATAGGAGCACACTTAGGGACCCTGCACAAGCCAGTCATTTGAGTTTATGTTAATTCTTTGGAGAAATAATAAAACATCTTTCATGGAGGGCAATATGTTTAAGGCAGCTTTGTAAATACATTCCTAAAAGTATTACCACGTGCCATTTTTTAAATCCATTTTTTAAGCAGTTGGATTTTTTTCTCCTAGAGGAGCCATGGGCCAGAAGGTTAATAAATTCTACATTCTTCTCATCACCTGGCTTAAATTGTTTTTCACTCTAAGTAAGCAGTAATTGCTGTTTAAGTAGATCTCAGCAGATTTTATCCCAACTGACACAGTGCACACTCCTCTCCCGTGTAATCTCTACAGAGGAAATGACAGACAAGGGAAGCACAACTGACCTACTCGCAGGTCGGCTTTCTTGCAATCTGCTTCTTATATAATGACTAGTCTATGTATAGTTCTTGCAATTAATGAAATATTATTTCATGTACTCTTTAACCTTGCAATTTATTTTGTGCCATATTCTGACTTTCACGTCATTAAATAATATTTTTCTCTACTCTCATTGCTGGGTTATCTGAGGGTATTTCCATCGGCCACTCAAGAAAACTTCTTTCCCCAGTCCTCTGTTGGAAGAGGAAATTGTCTAGCCCTTTGCTACTCGGGGTGTAGTACAGGAACCAATAGCATGGATATTTCCCTGGAGTTAACTAGGACTATAGAATCTCAGGCCCAGCCCAGACCCAATGAATCCAAATTTGCATTATAATAAGACCTCCAGATGATTTGTGTGCACATTAAAATTTGAGAATACTGACCAAGTTTACCATCAATCTTTACACCCAGACATGTAGCTGCCTGATGAAGACACCATCAGTTTCGCTTGTCTCTTGGGTGCTATATTTTGGGTATTCCTTTGGCAAATATTTGAGTGGTTCACATTTACTGAATGAATAAAAAGGCTTTCAGAAGTCCTTTCTTTTTCTTGTCATATGCTGCCCAGCTGCAGTAAAGGAAACAGCATATTTTGGAATCAAAAAGCAGAAAAGTAGCATCCGGTTTGAAAGATCCACTAACTCTAAGTACTTCAGTTCTGAAAGTCTTTCTGGTGTTTACAAGGGAAACAAACAAACAAAAAAAATGCCCTTTAGAATTATTTTCCATGAAGAAATAAGAAAGATTCATATCACGTAAAGTGATAAAACAAATTTCTGAATTTGGTGAAACTTCTGTCTTTATTGCTCAAGACATAGTGCTCTAGGTGCCAAAATAAGGATTGACTGCAAACAACTTGTCTTCTACACAGGGCATTTCACAGATTTCTATTTTTATTGCCCTAAGCACAGACCAGAGTTGTATTCACTTATTTAAAATGTTTTTACTTAACATCACAGGGGACCAGGCTTTGTTCTCCCTGCCTACACTCTACCTTTTGTATAAGCGTCTCCCCTCACACACACATACACAGAAGCCTATAGTCTTATTCAAATCCAATACTGCTAAAGAAGTTCTGAAGGCAAATCATACCTACTGTCAAACAAATAAAGAGCACAAGGATTATCACTTCCCTTGTACCTGCAAATGGCAGAAAAAGGACCTGATGTCATCGTACTCATAGTCATTAAGGGACCAGCTCCTCTGTGAAGGGCCGCCTTCTGCTTCCAAGCTTCCCTTTACACAGTCCACAGAGTTCTGATTTTGGTATTTTCCATCAGATGTCTTTCTTCCCGCTCTAGGCTGCTTGTGCTCCACGATACCCTTAAACTGAAAAGTTTGTAAACGGGGACAAATTTACATCTGGGAGCAGACTGGCTACCCGAAGCGGCTAGCCTTCTTGGAAGGGTTTAGTCAAAGCTAAAAACAGAGTCTTACCAAAGATTATTTGCATTACTGCAAATGCATCCCTGATTTCTTGCTCATAACCACTGGCACAAGCTGCTGAAAAGTGTTTCTTACACCAGGGACTGCCTGTCCTCCCACAGCCTGCCATGCACTGCACATTCACTTCCTTCCCCAGGCCACAGAATCAAGTCTATTGCACCTTCTTCATAAGAAATTTACAAGGCAAGAAAACTGGCATGAACAACCAAACTCTCTTCAAGAATCCATTTACTTGTAGTTTTTAGATGTTTGACTCTCAGGCCCTGTACTACATCAGTAACTTGAAATCCCAGCCCAAGAAATCTGAGAGCCTCTCTTCATTTGAAAAACAAAATTTTTTTCTACTGAATTAAGCACGTTGACATAATCAAGTGCTAAAGAAGAGGGACCCCCTGACCAGAGTCCACTTGCTGCTACTCCTCCGCTAGTCTGCCACTTGCAGCATGGAGTTTGGCATCAGTGAACTGATGGCACAGTAGTTACTTTTGGCTTTGTCCTGAAGTTGGCTCGGATTTTGTTAATGCTGAAATTTGCAGCCAATTTTCATTAGACTTTGTTTCTCATTAACTGGTGCTTATGTTTCAATGGGGAGATGTTTCAGCATTAGTTTCTGAACTTGCTCAAGCAGGAGCCAAAAGCTGAACGAAATCTTCCTCTTAAAAACATTTCCAACATACTTTAAAATGTCAGATGTCTTAATTCCACTCAGTAACATTAGTCCCCCCAAATATTTTCATTTGGATATGCACATTCCAAGAGGGAAATGAAAGATGGAGGTCAAAACTGCCTAGAAGCTTCGATCGCCTTCCTCTGATGGTATACATCGCCATGTAGTAGACATCTTAGGGATCTGCATGGGCAACGCAATGAGACCAAAAAAGCATGATCTGTTCATGCATTTCCTGTAGAAAGAACTTGCAAACTAACAGAATTAAATTTCTATTTCAAGTGTATAATTTTGCATGTATACTTCCATGAGATAATGACTGTTGATAATTAGTCAGTATTCTTTATTGTGTGTATAGTTTATTTTAAGTGAAGAAATGCATTCTCAAATGATTTTAAGTTCTATAATATTACTTGTGACTTGAGGATATTTACATTTATTCTCTGCTAGTAATCTTATCTTCAACATTGCTTCCCCCCCACCAAAAAAAATTACTATTCTGATCTTGGTGATATTCATATTCTTCGTTAAAGCAAAATGTTTTTTCTCTTTGGGGGAATGTTTTTTGGTTGGTCATTTGAGGAACTGGTTTTTGAGGGGGTTGAATGACTTTTCCAGAAGCCCCAATTTTTTAGCAATCGCGGTCAAAGCATCTAATTGATTCTGTTTCAAAAGCCTTTTTTGTTAACTCACTTATTCAATATGCTAAAGAAATTGTACAGCCAGATGAACTCAAAGTCAAATATAAAGCCAAAAAAGCTTAAGGAATATTTACTCTATTCCTGATAATGAGGACCTGGAACAGAGACCTGAATAATCCTTCTAAATTCTCTACCATTGGAGACAAGTCTCTGCCTTACACTACCAATTACAGTGCTTTGCACCTGCTCCTCTTTTTCTCTTTTTTCCCTCCTTTTTCTCATCCTTTCCCTATTTTTTGTTCCTTTATCATACGTTACCTCCTCAGAGGTCTTTAGCACCCACTTCAGATACTCCAGGGTCACAACGACCCACCATTAATCCTAGATCTCCCTGTACACAATTTCAAACAATCCCATTCATTAAAACAAAGGGAGACCATTGTAAAAGAAATACCAGAAGATTCATCTTGCAAAAGGACCAAAATTCTTCTAATACAGTAAATTGTTTCACTGGTGGAAATGTTCAACGAAAATAAAATTTGCAGAATTTGTTGAAGAATGGTTTAAAAGTTACTTCTTACTAATAATTTATTTTAATGTTTTGAAGAAAACCAAAAAGGATAAGGTACACATTATTTAAAAAAAAAAAAAAAATTCTCCTGAACAAAGAAGACAAGCAGTCCTTCTTGGAAAACTTTATGAAATACAACTTGTTTTACCAAGGCTATATTATTTTCAGTTACATATACAGTTCGTTTGTTATCTCTGAAATGCTTTTATTATGTTAAAAAATCTAATTAATTTGAAGAGTTAATTGGGTCACTGCAGCAGAATTTGATACTTTCCTGGTGTCTCAGTTAGTTCCTAACCAATGGAAGAAGGAAAACATGAATTATCATTTCAATCAATGGAGCTAATAAACCCAGAAGTAGAATGAGCTGAGAAAAACTATATTCTTCATTCAAAAATGCTCCCATGTGGGAGGAGGGATCCAGGAAATTCACCCTCTCCTTACCTGTTGTTAATTGCAAAATAAACATTTCAAAGAGTAAGGAGTTGCTGCAAGTTAGTTTTATGCAGAGCTCCTCTAAAAGGCGCTGGATCATCACTGCCCTGCGGCTAGTGTTCACATCACCTGGGAAATGAGTTGAGAGCATACAGCCTTCCTCTCCACAGCAGTCTCTGGATTTCCCTTTGAGGCTCTGCTCCTTTTCTCCCTCACACTCTCCTGTTGTAAACTTTGATATGAACTACAGCAAAGTATTATCTTCCTAGAGGTTGGTTACATAGGAAACTAGAGAAAAAGTACAGTCTTCATAAAACAACCCGAGTCTGCATTGAGTGACCTCCAGAAGACACCACAAACATGCTAATCAATAATGAGACAGACAGTCTTTCATCAGAAAATCGAAGCCCTCCGGGCAGGAATGACTTGAAGGAGCCCTCCATAAAGCATCGTGCTCCAACAGAAAGAGTTTGGCTCTGGGTCAGAGAAACCTGGCACATGGGCAAGTCACTTTACCCCTCTGAGCTTTCATCATCTATAGAAATGGTAATAAGTGTCTATAAGCATGGCTGACACAAGAATTACAAAAAATTAATATGAAAGATCCTATTTACAGTCAGAAATCCATAAATGGTAGCAATATTTCTATCTTTATTTATAACCCAAAAATGGTGCATTGCACAAATTTAGAGTTAATAAATAGTTGTGGAAATGAGGGAAGGAGAGAGAGAGAAGGGGAGAGGTGGGAAAGGAGGAGGAAAGAGAGAGGTGAAAAAGATTCAAGTTTTGCACTGAGAAGAGGTAGTTTCCTCTTTCTAATTAATAACGTCTCTGATTATAACATGTATTTATTGTGGAAGTTTTTTGAATATCGTGGACTAGGAATACCATGAACCAGCACCACAGATCCTGCAAATCAGAGTCCTCTCGTTACCACTGCAGCTTTGACGCCTGTTACAGCAATTACGTTCACCTTGCCTCTTACAGCTACACGCCATCACCTGGTCTGTCATTCCAGAACCCTCTCACTTCCGCTGACACCAGGGAGTCCAGTTTCAGGGCACTTTGTCCTGCCATCAGGCCCTGTCTCCAAAGGACAGCCCCTACCCTGGTTTTCCACGGTGCAGTGCCTTCCTTACGGCTTTATTGAAGAAGCGTCCACAGAACCCTCCAGGAGATCATAGCCAGCTGGCGCCTTCTCTGCTCTTATGTGATAAATCCATTCTAGAAGGTCCACATTTCTGAGCATTTTATCTTTAAATACTCTTACAGGACAGTTCTAGCGCCTTCTCTTCATTAACGTAAGCCACCGTTTTCCCTAAGCATTAAAGAGTCATCCAACAGCACACTGGGACTGGAGCTAGGTGCCCTTGTGAGGCTATTAAATCCTGAGTCATGGGAGAATGACCCCATGTGAATAAACTCTTATCCAGTCTCATACTCTGCCACCCAGTCCAACACCCTCAAGACCCATTTCCAAGCACATTCTTCTGATCCCTGTTTAAACTAGTAAAGCCATGAGGCAGCTTCAGTAGAGAATCTAATTCCTCCCACCACAGAGAAAGGCCTTCTCCAGCCAGGTCATCCTGAGACTTGACCCTAATGATCCAAGTAAACCCAGTGAGGGGTTGTGGGTAATGTTTGAGAAGGGCAAGTATTAGCTCTTAAAGCATCCTCCTCAAACGGGGCTTCTGCCTGGTCTCGAGGCGAGGGAGGCTGATCTTCTCCAGCAAGGAGGAGCAGCCCCTGTCTGCAAGAGAAGCTCAAGCTTCTCTATGAGGTCCTTGATTTAAGTCTAGGAGACTGCTAGGGTGGTGGATCCAGCCTTTTAAATAATTCAACTGTTCTCTCAATTAGGTCTGAAGCTTGATTTTCAGCACAGTCTGCCCTCTAGCTTCTCTGGTGGCTTTCACACCATGCCATGAGTGCTCTGATGGCACTAAACGACCAACTAATCCCATAGTCCTGCTATTACCATTGTTCCCACACCGCTCAACTGGAGTTGATATTGTATTAGCCAGAACGTGCCTTTCCATGTATGTCACATCCTGGTTCATCACAGCAGGGGAGTCTTTAATCATCGTGTTGCTACAGCACCTCATCGTTCTCACAGCCCACACCACTACTGTGGCATGCTGGCTAAGCTTCCCCAAAGATAGCAATGCTGGCTTTCATCCATTTGCCCATTAGATCTGCTCTCCACCCTTCTGCTAGCTGCTTCCCAGGAGGCCAGCGTTTACGGATTATATCAATGGGCTCCCTCACTCTCTTCCTTCCCGTTTGATTTGGCATGGAACGGACATGGGAGCCAAGTGCGGTTGGGGTATTTGCTTCCCTACCTCCCTCCCCACCAGGCCTCAGTTTGGTGATGGCTGCATCTTCCTATGAAAAGTGGCAGCTCCGGACAGGCCTCCCTCTCCTACGGTTCTGTTTGGGACCTGATAATCTGCTCTTCTTCTTATTCCTTCAGCCTAGGGTTGACCTTCGCTTCTCAGTGTTTCACGCCCATTGTTGGTTTCTCTAACTCTGCCCACACATTTATAAATCGTCTCTTCATTGAACTCTCCTACAACAGTGTATCATGTTTCCTGCCAGAAACCTTACTGATGCTGTGGTCTTTTCCCAAATTCTGGCAAGCCTTTACTGCCTCTGCCTTTCCCCCCAAAGTTTCCTTAAGAAGCAGCCCTTTCTCTCAAAAAATCCTGAGGGAAGTCCTTCGGAATGGGTTGAAAATATTTGAGTGGTACCCCCCAGCATTATTTCCAATCACCACCACTGTCCCAGTAGAGACCCCAGGCAGTCAACTACTTTTCATGTTAGAGTGACTTTCTACCAAAACAGATCTGCACTAAAGATTGGGGGGGATTTTGCTCATGTTCTTTGTCCCCAGACGTCTTCCTCAGCATTCCAGTCCTTGACCATCAACTCCAACTTTTGCTTTACTGTTTTCATGGGGACTCATAGATCCCTCACTCGAGGAGGACGCCTGGCTCCCAGCTGTGGTATGCCAGGGGCGGGAACACAGATGAAGCCACTTTGGGGACTCATGATGACCCAGCCATCTGTCTGTGTCCTTTACTCAACATGACATCCTAAATTAATGTGTAAGTAAAAATAATCTCGTAGTTCTTTTTAAGGGTGATTGTTAATGTTATTTCAAGAGTATTAAAGACTAAAAAGACTTTTTTGAAAGTTTTCATGAATTCAAAAGAGGACATGCTTTATTGGCACTAATAGGATTCTCCTGGCATATTGTGAAAAAGGAACAACATTAATTTCAACCCCCAAAATGTCAGATTTAAAGACACTTGTACAGCGTTAGAGTTTTTTTTTTAAGTCAGAGAGAATCAGCTGCTGTAAGGTTTTACAGAGGGCAAAAGCTAGGCAAGCACAGACTTTTCTTCTGAGACAGCAGTACAGTTTTACCCCTTACAAACATGTTAAATTTCTGAGTTTAAAAATTACAATTTAAATTTAAAATATGCTAAATGGGAAATAATATGTATGATTCATCATTTTGGGCATAACTTTGGGAGAGCATCACATGAGTCTAAAAACATGAGTTTAATTTTATAAGTTTTTAAGCATAAATGATAGCTCTAGTTACATACTTTTTCTGAGATTTTTGCTTAAAAGGGACTTTTTATTAAGGATCTTAAGGAAACTTAGAGAATTTTGCTTGGGGAAAGAATCACCCAAATCTAGACTCCTTTCAATTTGAGCAACCTCTACCTTTTCTTTTAATCCAAGCAGTCTCTATTCTTATGTAGGTAATTGCTCAGTTAAAAGGAGAAGGAAATATTTTCTCTAAGGGCACTTGCAGTTGGCTGGGAAGGGGGTGAGGACATGATGACTAAAGCATTGATTTTATTGATTTCTAGCCCTTTGGTTATAAATCTAGTTGGAGGCCAGTTAATAAAGAGGATATGATAATTAAAAGGCTTTCTAGCCCCATTTCCTAATTATGCCAATGTGTTTAAACCATTAGCAAAATGGTGATATACAAATTACAATTCTGAGCTTCAAGGTAAAGAAAAATTAATTTGCAGGTGTGTGAACCAGAGAAAGTATTTTAGCGAAGGCACAAATATCATTTTGCACTTTTAGCAGAAGTATGCTGCCTCTGGCGCTTGCGCCTGAGACAGGTCACCTTCTCCACAGGTGCAGACAAAATTAAATAGTCCTTGAATCCAGGGGGTAATAGCTGCTTGTGCTGCCCATGCCGGTGGGTCTGTGAAGCTATGCTCTGCAGGCCACGCCAGCTTCAGATGGTCTCACACTCGGTGGTGGCCGTGGAGCAGGCCCCGCAGTCACAGCGGACAGCCACGGGGTAGGTGTAGAAAGGGTCGACTCCTGGGGCACAGTTGGGCAGCTTGACCGTCACCTGTTTGGTCTCGTTGTAGGTACAGACTCGATGATGGGCTTCAATGTAGGGGGGTTCCAGAATGGGCTTCTGTCCCCACGGGTAGAAAATAGGGAACCCGTTAGAACATACCATTCTGCTTCATTTTTCTTGGTACCATTCATCACTATCAGAAATTAACTTGTTGTTCATTTATTGTTCACCTCTCTCCTCCCAGTAGAAAGCAGGAACCTTGATTTTGGTTGCTACCATATCCTGAGCTCTCAGAAGAGCCATGGCACACAGTAATTATTCAGTAAATAGTTAGCAATATAGTTAACTGGTCTCCTCTCTTCTCTTCTCCTGTTACCCTCTACAGTCTATTTAGAACACAGCAGCCCCAAGTGATTCCTTTAAAATATAAGCCAGATCCTATCTCTCCTCTGTTCAAGACCCCGGTGATTTCCTATCTCACTCAGCAGAGTAAAAGGCAAAGTCCTCAAAACCCTACATCGTCTTCCACACACCTTCACCTCTGATCTGTCTCCAACACCCCTGTCTTGCTGGCTTCCTCATTCTTTTCCAGCCACAACTGTCTCCTGATTTTCCTCAACCCCATCAGGGCCAGACCTCCCCAGGGCCCTTGCCCGTGCTATTCATGCTGTCAGAGTGCTCATCTCCCTTATGGTTCACTCCTTCACCAACCTTAGGTTTTTGTTCAAACATCACCCTCTCGGGGAAGCCTTTCCTGACCATGATATTTAAATTGCAACATCCTGCCTTCACGCCTTGCCACTTTTTCTCCCTCTTCTGCTTTCTTATTCTCCCTAGCAGTTGTCAGTACCATGTGACATACATTTTATTTATTCGTGTTGTGTTTTTCCTACTCTAGAGAGCCGGCTCCATTAGAACAGGGATTTTTGCTCATTTTACCCACTGCTGTGCCTCTACTACCTAAAGTAGTACCTGGCACCCAGGAGGTTCTCAGTCACTGTCAAATCGATAAAAGAAAACAGAGCAAGGCAGTTTTCCAAATACCCTGTAAATTCACTCCCTTCCTTCTTCACCTTTTATAAATCTTGAATTTAGAATTAATTTTGATAAACAGAGAATTTCGATCAGAAAATCAGCACAAAGAAATAGTTAAAATCTTAAACCCTATAGTCAGACTCTCGAGCTCGAGTCCCTGTTCTGCTACTTACTAGAGACCTTGGAAAAATCCACTAAACTTCTTGACACATCATTACCTCATCTGTAAAACAAAATATCAACCTCACAGCATCATGGTGGAGAAAAGGTTTGCTTCATGTCCTCTTACTGTCAATAATCTGGAATTTCAGGCAGAGTCTCCAGTTAAAATACAGACAACCGGTAATATTTGCATTTCAAATGAACAACAAAAAATTTTTAATGTAAGTATGTCCCAAATGTTGCACGAAACAGACATTAAAAAACTGGTCATTTATCTAACATCCAAATTTAATTGCCATCATAATTTTGCTGTGTTTTGTGTTTTTTTGCTAAATCTGGCAACCCTACCCAGGCCATGAGCAAAGGCTCTTTTCAGCAACAGTTCCACCTTCAAAGTAAATGCAGCTGCCTTGTCATCATGAACATCCTTATTTTCAGACATGCTCCCCAGTTAAGTTACCAGAAATAAGCAATTTATATCTCAGAAACTTTCAGATTGCTAGGAAAATAAGTCTCACTTCTTTTCTATAAGTAACCTCCCTTTCAAGGCGCAGTAGAGGCATAAACAAAAGCTGACTGACATTAAGGGAAATCTTGTTTTCTAATGGTCTTGGTGCTTCCATTTCTCCAGTGAGAACACTGTCCCTGACCTCCTGTGGGTAACCATGACCCAAATAAAGACATTCATCAATTTATAAGGATAAGAGAAGGTGGCTGAATTGAGGGAAGTGGTGGTTTCAGACTTGGGCCCAGAAATAACTCTGAATAGCCCAAAAATGAACTTTGAGCACCAGGAGGCATATGGGAAGCACCACCAGGCCAAGCCCTAAACACAAAAACACGCCAAAGTTCCACTGGCCCTTTTGATGTCAAGTCACAGCCATGGTATCCTTAGCAACGATTTTTCATTTGGTTATTCGGTCTCAAGCCCCTGAGTGATGCAAAAATAAAGCTAATTTTGTAGAGTAGTTTCCTTTAATTTGGAGATTTCATCACCGTACCCCAATTCCATTCACGGGGCCATAACTTAATTTAAGTGATAGCAGGTTGCTCTCTGAGTCCTTGAACAGAAGGATATTTTTCTGAATGGTAGTGTCCTCTCATGGTGCTCAAGGCCTTCTAAATTGACATCTACTAGGCTAGAGAACGTACATTGTAACTCCAGGTAGAGGTCGATCCAACATAATTCAGCAAGTATTTATTGACTGTACGTGACTTTGACAAGCGCTGTGAAAGGTGCAGGAAAATGAATCTCTGCCCTCAAAAAAACTTAAAATCTAGTGTTGTGTGGTAGGTGAGGAAGTAAGACAAAAGGTTGGCTAGAATGATGGGGTAACCAGGGAGTTAGAAAACCCTTGGAGATGGAGTCAGCTCTGGAGACAGACAAAAAAATAGAATAAATTTGATGATAGATGGAAACAAGAAGGGATACAAGAGAAAGACCGAAAGTGAAATTTCATGAAGGGTGTTTAACAAAACTTTTTAAAAGCCAGAATATGTATAGTCACTGGGAAAACAGGCTGATGTCATATTGCTAAAGACCTTGAAAGCTGCTTATTGAATTTGCAGTAGTAGGTAGTCATTAAAGGTTTTTGAGCCGGGTGACAAGATCAGAGCTGGTACTTCATCAGTAACCAACTCTGCAGTGGGAAGAGTCGACAGTCACTCTATGGTGTGATTTGACAGGGTGCTGAATGGCCCTTTCTTCCCATCTTTGGCAAACATCTCCTCATCTCAGCCTAATAGGATTCTAACTTGGTTTGAGATTTTTTATCCCCATTTTAAATGTAATGTGTCTTTAAAAGCTGAATTGAAACTAAAGGGACATAATAGATCTGTCAGTGATAATCCCTGAGGCCCCTTGTCATTTCCAGTGGAGGGGAGGGCAGGGCTGTGGAGGGGCTGAGGACCCACCCTCATCTGCTTCTCTGTTGGTAACCAACTGGCTTTATCACCACCGGTGGAGGAATACAGGGAAGAGTTTTGGTTATATCCTTTGAAGCAAGAATTTATTCCCAACTTTCCATTTCCCTCTACATGACTTTGCAGTCACTCACTCCTTGAATCTCCATGTCCTCCGTAAAATGGATAGAACAATAGCACATCCTAACCTTACAGAGATGATACCCAAATACACAGATACCATGCAAGTAAATTGTTAATTTTATCAATGCTTTGTTAAAGGGGCAAGATCACATTTCCTTCACATTTTTTGGAGCATGCCAAATAATTATCATTTTCAAAAATCCACAGAAAAGGGCAAATGCCCCAGCTCTTCCTCATTTCATTAAAATCGAACACTTGAGAATCAGGACAAATGTCTGGCCCTGAAGTCACTGACTCACCTCCCAGGTTTCACAGCGGCCCCAGCAGGCATCCGTGGTAATCCGAAGGCCCCTGCAACCAGGCTTCTTGGCCAAGAAAGTAAACTCTCTCACGGCACAGCCCACGAAGGTACGCAGGTTCCCACTGGAGGTGCTGAGAACACAGCAGCAGCCAGCCAGGAGGAGGAGGGCCATAGGGCCAAGGAAAAGGTATGCCAGCTTCATGCTGTTCCTCCAGAGAGGGAAAGGAAAGAGAATTTATTAACAGATCCAGCTGCCTGCTTCCCATGGGGCAGCCAACGATGTGTTGATTACTATCAAAGGGACCTTGTTCTTAGAATTTCAGAAGAAATGGGCCAAGAAATTGCAGATGTCCATAAACTCCAATGCAGGTACCCAAAGTTTCCTCTAACTAACTCCAGCATAGATTCCATGGACCCATTGTGCTCACTAGACACTCACTAGACACTTGGTGGGTGACATAATCCTAGGGAAACACTCAACCCTCCAAGGGCATCCTCAGGCTTTTCCTTATTGTGCCTCAACTGCTGGACTTGACCTGTGTGTAAAAGAAATTTGTTCCAATGGTATCTTCAAAATGAACATAAAACATGAGTCACACCAAAAGTAATGCATATCCTAACATAATACATAAGTACACAAAAATTATTTTTATTCAGATCCAGTATATTTGATGCTATGTTGCATGTTTTCTTAATATTATATTTTCAATGTCATGGAAGGGGAATCAAGGGGGGAGATAGATCAATAATAATTGTAGGCCCATATGTATTGTTACTAACCCAATCCTCCACAAAACATGGATATACACAAGATATTGTCAAACTTGGCATCTGACTTTGTGGCCTCTTACAAAAATGTGTCCTACTCACTACAAATTTTCTCTGCTCTATGCCTCCACTATAATAGATACCTAGTTGTGATTCAATGTAAATCTAAACGATGGAAAGCATCAGAGGTGTTTAAAACATAATCCTAATCTACTATCAAGTCTATTCTCTCTGGGTCTTGGTTCTTTCCTGTGCTTTTTAGGAAACAGAATCATTCTCTTCATGTAGGCCCACTAGACAGAACATACCTGGATGTTGAAGTGAGGATGGACATTGCATTTGTGGAATGCCCCCAATTCATTATCACTTACCACAGGCTGGAAAGTAATTTATTTCCAAATCTGATCTCCCGGCTCCTACTTCTAATCTGTCACCTTAGCAGGGCTCTTTGGACCTCCTCCCAAGAAGAATGAAGTTGCAAATATGGAAAAGCACTTACCTGATTTAATTGGAGCTAACTCTTCTCTTAGAGCTCACACTTGCACCCAAATTTTCAGAAATTCACAATGAATGGTGGAAGTTTGCTCTGGGTAAATGTCTCTGCCCTCTGTTACTGGGCTGCTTGACTGCTCAAATATATAGGAAAGGTCTTGTCAATCAAAACAAAAGAGAGGCAGATCCTTACAGGAACCACTAAACACATCAAAGACCTAAGATATAAAGCAGGTCTCTATTTTCCAAAACTGATTAACTTAAAGGGTGTTGTTTTGTTTCTTAACATCACCTACTGAAACAGAAAGTTACCTTGGTGGGTGACATAATCCTAGGGAAACAGTCACAGATAGTTCACCTAGCTCTCAGGAGAACAAATGCGTTGGGGCAAGATGGATTAAATTTTCCTTCATGGTAACCACAACTTTCCTTCGAAACAGGCATCAGCCACTAGTAACACATGGCAAACCCCTTAACTCACAACACATTTGATACATTGAAAAATAACAAAACAATAATTCTACCTGGAAAAAATATGGAATCACTAATTGAAAGGATGGAAATTACAGAAAGAAGAAACATTTTGAAAGTCTTAAAATTAGTCAAAGATTAGATAATATTAATAACACTCTAAAATGAATCATATAGGAAAAAAATACCAAGATGTTCAAAGTGATTATCTTCCAGCCTGGAAATTAAAAATAACTTTTCATGTCTTCTATGTATTTTTCACATTTTCTACATTGAGCAGGCTTTTATAAGAGAAAGTCAGTTAATATTGATACTTTAAAAATTAAAAACCAGTAAGTATACATTTGTGCTGCATGTAATGGTATTCAATGCTCTTCTAATGGAAATGTTTCATTAAATTTCTGGTTCTTAAAAGTCTAAAGTATAAAATATTATTCTTTATGAGTATGGGATACAGTTTACTTTCCAATCTGAAATAACAGCATACAAACAGTTTAAAAATCTCATGTTCATGGCATTATTCTGAGTGCTCTGAAAATTAAATGAAACAGATATCATCCTTGCCCTTAGTTTACATAACACAGCAAATAATTACGTAGCCAGACACATTTAAGATACATATTAAATAGAATTATGATATGAAATAAAGATGTTAAAACATTTCCATTTTCTGCAAAAAAAAAAAAAAGTGTTAAATAAACAAGCTACTCATTAAGGGTTTGATTTTTTTCAAAACATATAACAACCCTCAGTGAATCCATCACTATACCATCAATATACAAATTTCTAGAGTCACGTTTTTCACAGAAAATTGAACTAGACTTGGAATAAAGGACTTTCTTCAACCCTCTGGCCTGTGACTAGCATAACCAGAACTGGGGTACCATGGGGACAGATTGCTTACCCGGTGTGATCTTTCGAACTTACTGGGTCTAGGGCTAGCCAATCATCTGTGAGCTGCCATCTGAGCTGTGTCAGTGAAGAAGACTAGTTAACCCTTTTAGATTCGACCTGAAACACACACTTGTGTCTGCAATGTCATAAGGTAAAGAAAAACAAGAAAGAGATGCCAAGAGTATCTTTCTTTCACAATCCCTAACTTCCTTATAATGCAGAGCATCAGCATTAACCTCAGAATAATGACAATTTATAGTCACTGTGCACCTACTGTGTACCAGGTTTCATGAAATCTGCTATGCTCTTATGTATGTTATCTCTAAATTTTACAACAATTCTGTAAATCCATGATTATTTTCTCCTTTTTCCATTGGGAGAAATGGAAGCACAGTTATTTTATAATCCACCTGCCTCCAAAGCCTTTAACTATGCTGGGGATAGCAAATAGGTTTGTTTTATCTCTGCAACCAACTGCAGCCAATTGGAAGGTGCTGCCTGGAACAGTTATGAAGGCCTCTGAATCCATTCCCAGTGCAGAGGGCAGTGGCCCATCTGCTTCACTGTGGGTATATAAAAAGGGGAATGGTATATGGATGCCACTTTTGTACAATCTTTCCATTATGCCATGCCATTTGCCCCTCTATAGGCAGAGTGACAGGTTGCTGCGTGATTTCAAAGGCTACTTAAGGCCCTGATACCTACAGAATATCTCAGCACCATAGTTCGTGTATTTGCCAATTTCCCTTCCATCTCCAGTGACATTCCTACCATTAAGTCATTCTCTTGAGGTAACAGGCAAAAATGTAGGCAATGTCTCCAAGCACAGGCCTTAGAGAATCTTTTCTCATCTTGTTTCACTATCACCTTCAGATGGATTCACCGTCAGCTTGAAGGATGAGTCACAAGATACAGGTTTTCTAGGGGTAATGAGAGGGGAGAGGTGAGCAATCATCTTGAGGTCTGGGGGAGCATGACAACGGAGGTGGAGCTGAGTGTCAGTGCCTTGAAGAGGTGACTGAACAAAGGTAGCCTGGTTGAGGGATGGCAGCCCCAGACGAGGAGGACCTGGGAGTCCACACTGTATGCAGGATATAAACACATTACCAGAGCCCAGAAATTTCCTTTCCTGACTTGGCCATGCTGACTCTCAGTGGCATAACTTCCCTGTGAATGCCTCGGGCAAGTCACTTCTTTCAGCCTCAGTTCCCTCGTCTATAATATGATGGGGTTGGACCCTATGACTCATAAGTTCCTTCCTAGCACCAGAATTTAAAGGTTTGCTATTTTATGAATAAAACAAGCTAAAGGCAAGTCAGATAGAGAATCTGAAGGTTCATATTCCAATAAAGTCATCTAGATTCATGCCCAAATCTTGACTCTGACACTTGTCAACTTGTGGTTCTGGACAAGTCTCATAGCTCCCTGAATCTCAGCCTCCTGTCAAACTGAAAATGCCTCCTTCACAGGGTTTGCATGAGGATTTTACAAAATAATGTCTATAAATTGCTTATCTCAGTACTTGATACATGATAAGTAGGTAATAAATATTTTTCTTTCCAATCATCATTGTATATACACCTAAGAATTTAAAAGCTGCCAATAAAAAGTGCCATGCCATTAATTATTAGGCATATACTAATTTCAAAGCTATTAAATGTGGTGAGGGGGGTGGAATGTGAGTCTGTGAAGAGAGGAAGCTGGGGGCTATGAGACCTTACCAGCATTCTGAAACCAGGAGACATGGGTGGGCACCCATCGTGCTTCCCCAGCCAGCCTATGGCACTTGGATCTCACACTGAAATTAACAACACATTTTGCAATAGGAAAAAATGCCCGAAGTGTCCTATATAATTTTTAAGTTCTGAATCTCATACTTTGGGGGTACAAGCTTTACCACAGTTTCAAAATTCAATATGTTAATATATCTGCATGAATACTTCCAAAAATTTCAGTTCTGAGCAAGAATGGAGTCAAACTGACTGGGCCAACAACCAACGTATACTGAGTCTTCCCTCTCTGTTCCACAGGTACCAAGGATCCAGAGGCCTAAGCAGTTTGCTTCATCACTTACAATGATCTCCTGAGAGCTGAGAAAAGACACACATGCTCCCCATATGTTTTTCCCTTGTCCTCTCAGAATACACAATGCTCTGTCCAAGGTCAAATTAATTAGCATTATGTCCCCTGTGGATGAATAAAAAAGCCACAAATAAAGCTATGTGTTTCAAGGAAGTAGAAGAAATAATGATTCTCTGCAAACAGATACCAGAAAGGTCAGCCTTGGGTTGCTGCTTTTACTATCCCATATTTATAGGGGGCAAAAATTCTGGGATTATGAATGAAGTGAACAGTGAAGTCTTAGAAGAAATTAATTTTATTGGAAAGTCATTTCTTCCTTTCAAAACACTGGGTATTTGTGGGACGGCTCCTCATTTTATTGACTTAAAGAGATAACATTTGCCTTAGATGATAGTATAGTTGCTATGGTAACTTTTTTAACGAGACTAAAAATAATGAAGCCTGTGTCTGATTTACTAGGACAAGTCAAGCCTTTCTCCACGACTGTCTGAAAGAAATATCTGTCAATTGTCACAGATTTATTTCAGATTAAAGGGCACATGGTTTAGACGCTGAAGTGGAATGTTTTTATTTCCGCCTGACTCTTCCACTTTTGAATGTCATAGCTTTGCAGGGCATGGCAGACACATGCCTAACAGAGAGGAACAGAAAAGAGCTTAATGAATCACAAAGAAGTATTCTTTATTTCAAGTGCATCCCGTATTCTCATTGGCATGAGTCCACAAAGCTGCTGGGTCCCCACTCTTTCATTTGTAATTCCCCAGGCAGCAGCACAGACAAGGCCAAGTCGTTGTTAGCTAAGCTACAAAGCAACAGCACCTCATTTGTTAGCTATTGGCTTTGTTCCAGAAAAAGATTCCTAGGATTATGGCCCCCGAATGCGTGTGTGTGTCTGTGTGTGCCCGCACTTGTGCTTGAGTGAAGGAACAAGGTGATGAGAAGGTGGGGAGGAGAAGCAGAGAGCTGTTCTACTCTCCAGAGTATTCATCACATAATTTAACACATATTTATTAAGCAACTGCTGTGTGCCAGGCACTGTCTAGCACTGGAGTCACTGGGTTCATTTAAAAAAAAAAGATAATGGTGGGAGGTGTGGGGGTAGAATAGCTAACAAAAGATGGTAATGATAGATTTCTTTCCTCCTTCCCTTTATTTTCTTTATCTCTTCTTCATTCTATCCATATTTTATTGAGTGTTACCATATGTCAGATACATACGAAGTACACGTGATGCAAATATAAATAGAGCTACCAGCCCTTGAAGGATCAATAGTCTAGTGAGAAAGATAAATAAACCAACATGCATATAACCCAGAAATTGCAGTCTTGGGATATATCCCAGAGCAATGGAAATTTATGTTCACACAAAAACCTGTACTCAAATGTTCATAGCAGCCTAATTCATTATAGCCTCAAACCGGAAGCAACTCACATGTCCTGCAACCGGGGAATGGTTTGACAAACTGTGGTACAATTCACAACATGGAATACTACTCAGCAGTAAAAAAGAAATAAACACACACCAACTGGGATAATCTCCAGAGGATCATACTGAGGGGAAAAAGCCAATAACAAACAGTTATGTTCTATAACTTTCCATTTATTATTCTATTTATATAACATTCTTGAAGTGACAAAACTATAGAAATGTATAACAGATTAGTGGTTGCCAGGGGTTAAGGAGAAATGGGCAAAGAAAGGAAGTGGGTATGGTTATAAAGTGGCAGCGTGAAGGACTTTTGCGATGATACAAATATTCTGACTCTTGACTATAGCAGTAGATAAATGAACAAAACATATAATAAAACTACACAGGACTAAATATACACACACACGAATATTAGTAAAACTGGGTAAATATAAACAAGATGGGTGATTATATCAACCTCAGTGTTCTGGTTGTGATATTGTGCTATAGTTTTAAGTATAAAAAAACATGGAGAGAAACTGGATAAAAGGTATCTGGATGTCTCTGTCTTATATCTTACAACTGCCTACAAATCTACAGTTGTCTCAAATAAAAAGTTTCTTTAAAAAATAAATCCACATTTTATTTAGGGGGTAGACAAAATGGGTGAAGGTGGTCAAAAGGTACAGACTTCTAGCTACGAGACAAGTCCTGGGGATGTAACTTATAGCACAGTGACCACAGTTAATAACACTATGTTGTATATTTGAAAATTGCTAAGAGAGTAGATCTCAGCAAGAAGAAAAAAAAGTGTAACTATGTGTGGTGATGGTTGGTAACTAAACATAATTTGGTAATCGTTTTGCAATATGTACATATATCAAATCATTATTTTGTACACCTAAAACTAATACAGTATGTCGATTTTATCTCAATTTTTTCAATGATAAAAAATAATTCTTCCATATTAAGAATAAGATAAAGTTTATTTTTAAACATTACTGTTAAGAAACTGAATTAAAACAACTAGAAGCTTAAAAAATAAATAAACAACATTAAATGGCATAGGATGCTATGAGAGCCTAGACTATGGGGTGCTGTCGGGAGAGAATTCTTAGAGAAATGATTCCAGTGAGTTAGGAGAGAATTCATTCTGGGCAGAAGAAACCACACACACTGACTTCTCCATTGGTATTTGGAGAAGAATCTTTGTCTTATTCACCCCTATTTCCCCAATGACTAGAATACTGCCTGGCTCACAGTTAATTACAAGGAACTGTTTGTTGAATGAATAACTAAAGACATGGAAGAGGGTGAGGTGAGTTTGGGAAGCTACAAGGAGTCTTCATGGTTGAGCACAGAGTGTGTTCAGGAAGAGATAGTAAAGAGATAGATTAGAGCAAAGACACCAGCTGGGGAGGTGGCTGAGGTGATACAGGTGAGTACTTTGCTTACAACCTCCAGGTGAGTAATTTGCTTACAACCTCAGACGTTGGAAATCCTTCAGGATAAGTTCTATGTCCAATATAGAGATGTCTGGTAAAAATGGAATTCAAGCCATATACACGATATTAAATTTTCCAGTAGCCACACTAAGAAAGTAAAAGGAAACAGATGAGGTTAATTTTAATAATAATTCCCAGTGTGCTAGAAATAAAATATTCTATTTAACCCAGTATTATCCAAAATGTGTATATTTAAACATGTAATCATTTTAAAATATTGTTAATAAAATATTTTATATTCTTTTTACATTTTTTCTTATATTAAGTCTTTGGAATCTGATCTATTTTGATAGCATATGTAATTGACAACACAATCTCAATTCAAACCAACCACATTTCAAGTGCTCAAGAGCCACAAGTCTTGGCTACCATATTGTACAGTGCAGGTCTAATATGTAGATGGTGCTACCCAGTAGCAAGGAGTAATTACTTGAACTCCTTCTAGCCCTTTTTCATGTGGTATGCCTATTAATTCTCACAACAATATTCTATGAAGTACTTACTACCCTTTATGATGATGAAACAGAGATCCAAGAAGTTGATTGACTAACCAGTGATAGAGCTAGGATTCAAATTCAGCTCAGACTGATTTTTACTGAATCCAGCTGTTAGCCAGTTGTTATGTGCTTGCAGTGAGAAGCCATGGCCTACAGTGAGGGAATCATTGGGTCAGCCTGATAGAAATCCCTAAGCCCTCGCCAGCCGAGCCCGTGTTGGCCGATGCATGGGGAATTTCAAAGCTTAAAGCAGCTAAGAGTCCATAAGAGAGATTTTTTTTT